CCCCCCCCCATGTTTATGAAAACTGCTGTAGGAAATTACAACACAGTTTAGCCCCTTGAGGGTGAAAATATCAAATTTGGTTTTTAATTACATTTAGTTCTAAAATTACCATGTATGAAGGTGAACTTTCAGTTGTCTAAATTTGATGTCTATGATGCAGATTAGTTATTCTTACACAAAATTATTTTTGTTCTAGATGTCCTTTTTTGGTTGACAGATAATCTTTGAACTTTTGTTTGTTTTTGCTGGCTGTGTTTTGATCCAGCTAGCTCATTCAGCTCATTAATAAGCCTTGTTGTGTTGATTTTACACCCAGCAGCGATCGATGCCAGTGGATTCCTGGATCTTGTGCTGGTATGACAGGAAGCTGTCCATTAACACAGGCTTTTAGCGCCCACTTCCCTCTAAGCCAGGATGTCTGACTGGGGTCAGTGCCATGTCTGCAAGGCTCTGCTCACTGTTGCAATGCTTGTGATCCAATTTGCCACATTACCTTTACAGTTCAGATTACCTGGAGCTCTCCTTCCAGAAGGCTCAGCAGGAAAACGAGATCATCTCGGGAAAGATCCCTGCTCTTCTCCCTTCGGCCACCCTTCGTAGCGTTGCTGCCGCTGGTTCGTCCACCTCCACCGGCACTGGCGCTGTTCTTCGTTATCTTGTTGTTTCGCTGAATGGTGCCAGTGTCATCTGGTGTCTCCCGATGACGACCTCGGCGTTCTGCTCTTCCCGACGGTTCCTCCCGCTCTGTGGATCGCTTGTGTGACTCATTATGCTGCTGAGCCAGCTTGGCCTTGGCTACATCCTCCAGACTGTTGCTGCGGGACCGCATGTTCCTCCACCTGTTACCGAAACAAAATGTAGCATTAAGATGTTGATATACTGCAGGCAAACATGACCCCACAAATCACTGCTGTTTATAAAGCCTGTGAGGATAACAAGGAGGTTCTGTTGTGATCTACTGTAGCAAAATATTGAATATTAAGGACTGATTATTCAACAGTTCTAATGACCAATCCTAATAATATTAATGAAAATATTCTTAATATATTAGAGTGTATTTAAGCTGTGTAATGTATGTAAAACTTCCAGAAAGCTGTGTGTTATGTATGCAGCAATAAAGAGGGGTCTCTGCAATAGGTTTTGTCCTGTGGGCGGAGACGTCCCTGCTCGTGATGGGCGGAGGTCTTGATGTGGGCGGAGGTGGCCCAAGGGATGTGATTGGTCAGATTGATGGTGGGGTATGAGGCTGGAGGCAGCGGGGAGTAGCTTGATCGAGTCAGGCAGAATGTTTTTAAAGATTAATTTTAGTCATAACTTGAGAAAGGAAAATGCTATCTGCACGAAATTTGAACATCATATGTGTGAAAGGATGTGTAACAATATGGCTCGGTTAAAACATCCCTAACCAGACTGTTAAAAAGATAACTAAAAATCAATATTTTTACAGGCTGGTTACGGATGTTTTAACCAAGCCATATTGTTACACATCCTTTCACATGTATGACTTTCAAATTTCGTGCAGATAGCACTTTCCTTTCTCAAGTTATGACTAAAATTAATTTAAAAAAAAGTTACTTCCTGCCCGACTCGACCAATCTACTCCCTGCTGCCTCCAGCCTCAAACCCCACCGTCAATCCGACCAATCAGGTCTTGGGCCATCTCTCCCCACATCAAGACCTCTGCCAATCACGAGTTGGGCCGTCTCCGCCCACATTAAGACCTCGACCAATGATGATTTGGGCCGTCTCCGCCCTCAGGACAACACGTTCTGCAGAGACCCCTACTTGCCAACAAAAGAGAAACAGGAAAACGTGCTCATTTCACAAACAAGCTGATTTAGTCTCATTTACAGAGCAGATATGATCCAACCAGAATTAAAGCTAATAATGAACCAGTTTAAAATTACAATAAGCTTAAAAAATCAATGCAATTGCTATTAATTATTTGCAGATATTTGCTTCTGTAGCACATATTGTTATACAAAGTGTAGCACTCTGCTGATTCATGCAACAATTTACCCCAAATTATTAAATATTACAAGCAGGTTTTGCCTCTGATTTATACGACAGATTAGGGCCACATGACAAGATTTTTATTATTATTATTACGAGATTAAAGTCGTAATTTATGAGAATAAAGTTATAATGTTACAAGATTAATGTTATATTACAAGGGAAAGAAGTCATAATTATCACGTGTCTATTTCCTGTTCTTCATTTTGTAGCGAATTACTCTATGAGATTAGGACCAGCCTAATCTTCACAAAGGTAATCCAGGTAATCAAGATCTTGCAAAAATGAAATCAGAAACAATGAAGTATCCCTCTGATCATGAAGTGAAAAATGAACTTGTGACATGGTCAGATTTCTCAAAATAAAGTAATTTATTTTAGAAATATGAACAGAATAAACATACAAACATTTCTTAAAAATATTATATGAATAAGTAACCACAAGTTATAATTTTCGGCATAAAAGTTCCAATCAGAATTGACAAAAAAACAGTAAATTTCAGGTGTTGCAATTCACTGGCACACTACTTGACGAAGTTTTTTAAGTAAATAAGAGAGAAAAAGGYAAAGATTTAAGTTTTAAGAATAGGAGGAAGGAGAGAAATTAGTAACTTTAGACTTGTTCTCAACAAGTCAAACCAGACCAGCACATCAGCGTCAGGACAGACATCTCCTAGGGCTAGACTTCAGCTTTTATCTCAGCAAGCATCTCCTTCTACCTTTTGATGTCTTGACAAAGACAGGCAGGTGGACGGTTTTGAGATTGTCAGGACTGAAGTCCGCCARGTGGATAACGTCGCCTCGTGACACCCGGGGTTGAGGGGGAGACACTCCTGTCTCATCCCAGTGAGCCTCCAGGCTTCTCTCACCCCTAGCGAGCCTCCAGGCTCCGTGCGGTCGGCTCAGAACATTCGCTTAAATATTCGCTTCAATAACTTTGAGTATATTGATTATAACCTCAAATAGAAGATTAAATGAGATAACATATATATAGGACTTATTTTCACTTAAAGAAAATAAAAACACTTTAAAATGATTTTCTTCTTATAAGTGTNCATATATATAGGACTTATTTTCACTTAAAGAAAATAAAAACACTTTAAAATGATTTTCTTCTTATAAGTGTAAAAAATAAAATCAAAGACAAAGAAAAACAATAGAAAAGTTTTTTTTTCACCAGGGTTACCCCTACAATTTCCTCCTTATTTTCCTCACACCTTCTACCCTGCTACTGATAATTTGATGCTAATGTGCTAAAAGATTAACTATTTATTTGTAGCGATAATAAAGAACTTGACAAGTTGCTCAACATTCCTCATTTTAATGCAGCTGTAACTGCATGCTTTTTCATGTAAAGGCTACAATATTACGACTTTAAACTCATTAAATTATGACTTTTCTCATAATATTATGACTTCAGTCTTGTATTATGACTTTAAACTCATAATATTATGACTTTAAAATTGTAATATTATGACTTTAATCTCATAATTTACGACTTTAATCTTGTAACATTACATCTTTATTCTCATAATATTATGACTTCATTTTTACATGACTTTAATGTTGTAATACTATGACTTTATTCTCGTAATTTAAAAAAAAGAAAAATATATCTCATTGTGTGGCCCTAATACTCCGTCGTAGATTTATTTATTTTGTACACAGTTGTAAAATAATACTATATACTTGACTATTTTTAGGTTTCTATTAGACGAACCTGACCTGTTAAGAAGATGGTGAATATCAGTAGAAACAAATTTTATCCTTTAACTTTTTAAGCCCCAAGCGGTTTTCTTGAAGTTTTTGATCAAAATACCATGCTGAAATGTAATTGAGTGTACCTCAGCATTTACAAACGCTACTCAAATAATATTGGTATCAAAACAAAGAGATTTCATCAGAAGTGTAAGTATTAAAACAGCTGCTGTGGTTTTAGAGAAATTGAGGATGGAATGTAATTTTCTTTTCACTATCACCTAAATATTATTGCATTAGACAATATATAACCCATTTAAAACCATAATTAATAAGTCTAAAAACTTGGAAACCATAAATCCACCTTTGGACATTACCTGTGCAAAGATTCATTATGCTAAAATTAACTGGAGCAAAGTTACAGAGGCTTTAGTAAAGGAATTATTTGTCATTCTGCCCAGGACAGACCATGTTACTATTAATACATGTAAAATTAATGTAATGTAAAATTAATACACGAAATCTTAAGTTTTTAATTGCAAAGGTTATTTATTTTTTCCTACCTGCCTGAAAAGACTTGTTATTGAATGTTTGTTCTTTTGAAAAGTTATCAGAACATGTATTTGTCACCATATATATTATATAAAATAATGAGAAATTATATTTAACTTCAGTTGAACCATAGTCAAAACACTTTTAACACTTTACATATATATTGTGGTATCTACATCGACTTGCTTTAAAAAAATAATGTCAAAAATCTTTCTTTTACGGATTTGCTTGTAAGTATTTACAGATTTGCAATGACATCATTTTGCACAGTTTGTGACCAAGTGTTGACTACATAACAATTAAACAATAAATAATATACACTATGACTAGTTGAATTCATAATTATTCAACTAGCTTAAAAGTCTAAGTTATGACAGACTTCAGATCTAGTTTTAATCAAAAATACTCATATTTCAAAATATCATCTTGTTGTTTTACATAATTGTTGGATGAAATTAACTTAATTAAAATATTGATTTAATGCAGAAATATTACAGATAATTTGTGACACAGATGTAGTTGGGTTTGCTGTTAATCACATAGTTTAACGTTGTCGGCTGTGAGCTGTTGCCCTGTTTGGACGCCATCTTTGCTTCTCCAAAAGGTGCTAGCAGTGGACAAGAGGCGCAGCTCCCTCTAGTGGTATAATCATCTCGTGAAAACAAAAAACGAAAGTTTTTAGTTATTGTTTTCAGTGATAAAAAAATGAACTGAAAGCACAAATTTACAGTACATAGTTCCTACCACACAAAATTATTCAGAATTCTGAAAATGTATCTTTAAGATCACATTATCTGTTATTTAGTTTTCACTTAGCATTAGCTAGAAATTTGATGACATGCGTGTAAATCTTTGCCGTACATACTAACAACAAAACACTCAAATCGACTTTGTCTCTACTGTAGTTAATTTCTTGGTTAGCCTAACAAATACAAAAAGAAGCTGTTCTTCCTAACAGAGTGACAACACGTGTTGATTTTAGGTTTTTAGTGGAGAAACAAAAGCCTCATCATCGAACACTAAACCCAGCCACAAACCCGGATCATGACCTACTTGTATTTAGGGCCAAAAACAACAAAAAAACTTGTCTATCAATAACAGCTGGTGTGCGTTATTTAATTTTTTTGTCCACAAAGGACCAGCTATAATCAGTTTACCACAGGATTTAGCAACTTTAGCGCTTCCTCTGGTCTCAGCCTTTGCCTAATTTTTATATGATGAAAGCTGGTTTGATGTGGTTGGACCAGCTTAAAGTAGTTAATATTTTACAAGCCACGAATAAAAAGGCATTATGTTATGTTTGTGTTTGAAGTGTACAGTGTAACTTTGTCACATCTGGTTTATGAATGGTCCATTCAGGGGCTGAGTGGCTGTGATAAATCCAGCCACGATAAACAGATAAATGCAGATTTTCTCTCAGGAAAAGGAACCATAAGCTCCTCTGCCAAAATCATCTATCACTTGTTCGGGGTTTACACTCGACTAAAGTAAATACATCTAAAAGACAGATTTGAACAAAAACATGCGGAGACTCATTTCTTTGTGCAATAATTTGCCCAAAGGCATTACATCATCAT